TTTAGTTAACCACGTGACGTTGTTACTGTCTAAGCTGCAGCTCTGCCGCTTTTCTAAGAGTTTTAACCCCTTGTAAAGCACTTCAAGTGCCTAGAAAGTTCATTGATGGTAGTTGCTAGTCAATCACAGCTTACTATACATATATTTATATACGAGTATCACCATTTCGTACACTAAAATCGCCCTTAATAATATTGAATTTCAAAAATATGATTAAATATTAACTTTTGTTCAAGAGTTGTGAACCCCTTACAAGCCTAGAAAGTTTGATGATGAGTAGAATTTCCCGGTCAATCACAGCGCTGTTAGCCTTTTCCCCCTTAAAAAGTGTCTTTGAAATCACATTTATATATGTATAGGTATATATTTTAATATGTTTGTAGCTCTAAATTCTGACCAGCTAATTAGCCAAAAAGATAAAATGAAATCATTTATCAGAAGTAAATCATTTCAAATGCCTATAAACACAATTAAATAAACTAAGATCTATGGAGAATGTCCTAAAAATACTAAACAAAATACCAGACCAGTTTATATGCTTAAATATATTGCCATTACTTGGACTCTCGAGGTGTATATTTAAGAGAGGCACTTGCTGTAAAGGCTAAGAGCGTCAGAGGCTGAGTAGCTCGTAAAATTCCGAAAACAAACATGCGCGCTGCCTACAAGTATGTCGTACGCGCCACTTGAAGGAAACAACATCAGGTAATAAATGTTTTTGCGTATGTGTGTGTGTGTGTGTGTTTGTTTCATGCCAACTGAACGAAAGGTGTGCAGAGCAAACTAAACATAATTGTTCTCTCGCCCAGTCTCTCTTATGGATTGTTCTCTCTCTCGCTCTCTCTTTGTAGCTGCCTGTTTACTCTGCGGCTCAGTAAGCTTAAATGGTTAAATTAGCAGACAAACGTGCGCGCAGAGCTGCAAACAAACTTTATTATGGGTCATTGTAAAGTGCAGGTAAACACAACAACAACAACAACAACAACAAAAGCAGCAGCAGTAACAGCAGCAACAACAACTACAACCTAACCAGCAACACACATGCACTTGCCCTCGCATCCGCATCGTTGCTTAAGTGAGCGAATTGAATTGAAGTGCCTATTAGTATGCAATAGATTTTTATCAAGCTCATGCTCTTTGCGAAAATTGTTTGCTTTCAAATTGAGTAAACTATTATGGATGTTTGTGGGTGTGAATGTGTGTGTATGTGTACGTGTACGTGCCAATTGATACATATGCAATTGTTTAAGAGTGCTTTGATAGATTTACCCCAATCCCCACTCCCGCACTCATTTCGGCCTCTGAGCCAATTGTGGCTTAGCTTTTGCCGCTTTGTAGTCATAAATTATTTGCATGTGATATTTTGTTTGTGCGCATTATGCGCTAACAATTTTAAGCCCTTTAATTGAGCCTTTGCCAGAGTCAACTTGGTCAACGAGCAATAAAAAGGGATTTGTACATCTAATTGATTTTCGTTCTGATTTTAATTCCCATTTATGCCAGAACCTAATGCTGTATTTAAGCTACTGAAGCAGTTTTCTAATTATTGAATTATTTGCATTTGTATGCGAATTCTAATTACAATTGTCAACTCTAAAAGAGAAGCTTTGATAATATTTTGGCGATGATTTCAAACTAAAATGTTGCGTTATAACGTATTTTGCATCACAATTTGTTTTTAGAAAAACGTTTTCCACACGATAATTAACAAAATATGAATTGGGAATAATAAAAAACAACATTGCTTACCTAATTTAATTTAGAAAGATTTCTGAAACACGTAAAAACATATAATTACTAGAACTACATACTATTTTTCTTATCATATTTAATATTTTTGGATATTTTCATGCCCTTGGTGTTTCTAAATAAATGTATCTATATAATAGTACATAGTTGTATACGAGTAAAATAGAAACCATTCACTTTATAAGTATTAAGGTAATTTGGATTGTGTTGTGGTCTGTGCACGCTGATTGCAAATTTCTTTATAAACTCGTAATAGTTTACCTCCCCCTGACTAGATTTTGTATGTATGTTGCATAAACTGTGGTTAACGTTTATGACTTAATGGTAAATGTGGTAACTATAAGTGGCATTAACCATAAAACACTTAAAACGTTGTGGGCATAAATACATAACTCATACGCCTCATTGCACGTGGCTAGACATTAACGTACACAAATATATCCATATATGTAAAGAGATGCAGCTGGAACAAGCCGCTGGCAGCTGACAAAACATTAAACGTTTTAATTATTTTAGTGACTGTGGGTTAAGGCTGATGCATTTTAATTAAACAATCAATTTAAGCGAATTTCAATTATTAATTGAGATCAAAGTTAGTAACAACAGTAGCCTAATGATCTAAGCTGAAATGAAAGTGATTTGCAAAATTAAATAGCACTCTTTTCAATCGCCACAGAATGTTACGTGAATATCAGGCTCCTCAGGAAAGGACACTTTCAGTTCACAACACACCATTAGCTGACGTTGTGCGAGGAGTTTGGATAAATTCTACATTCCCAAATAGAGAACGGATGCGTTGCTGTGAAATAGGGATGAATTTTGAATATAATTAGGGCGATTCCCAAACAACATATGTATATAGAAACTCGAAATTTTTGTTTGTACAATACAATAAATTAAACTTTGATGTAAAACGTTCAACGCTAAAGTTTTGTATAAAAGTGTTGCCCATCGCTCGCTGTCTCTTTAGATTGTACTTTAGATACGATAAAATGTGTAGAAAATGATAACTTAAAGCATATACATGAGAATCGTTAGCAAAATTTGATAAAAAAAAGTTGGAAAAGGATAGCTTGAAAACGAGCACGTCTTTTGCAAAAATTGTATTTTACACATAAATTTGTTTGTTTTTTTTTTAATTTTGATATATTTATTGACAAATTGCTATTAAAATATGTTAGTTCCCAATCATGTAGTTATCAAAAATAGTAATTAACAACTCTTCACAACAAACTAATTACGTGCTACCTCAATTGCAAGCGAAGCACTGTGCTCCATTTTTATCGCAGAAAAGTTGTTTTCCTATATATTGGGTGTGTAATAAAATAAAATACTTTGCTTTAATGCATTAAACACGACTGGCTGCATGCTGAGGGCAACAGACGATGGGCGGCAGGTTGATTAAAAATCACGCATACGCAACGTTGCACTTCGGTTTTCTGATGCTGCTGCTGTTGTCATTGGCCTGGGCATTGTATGAAGCGCACTTAATAAGTGAAAATGTGCGCGGCATATTAAAAGTGACATATTTTACAAATAGCTTGCAACAGCAACAACAGCAATAATAACAGCAGCAGGGGAAAATATTTCGAATTGTGAATATGACAGGCTTCTGTCCATTGGAAAAAGGGGGAGTGGCGAGGAGCGGCCAAGCCTATCAAGCGGCAATTGCAACAGCAAAAAGTGAAAATTTATTGCATTTTTATAAACAGCAAACAGCGTTGCCACACTTTAACATTCACTGTTTGGCATTAATTATGAACAAATTAATTAAATTAATTACTCATGCGTGCAAAGCAGATGCACATACTATACGTCCTCCATTTCCACCCCGCCTCTACCTCCCGTTGCCCCTTGTATGTGGTTTATGCAAATATTGGCGCAGCCGCCAACGTCAAAGACCGCGCAATGAACCCTTTGGTTCTATGGTCAAGCTGTTAAACTATTCATTACACTGTTTTTTTTTTCTCGTTGTATAATGTTTAAATTATAAATTCATGCTGCACTTTTTACAATGTTGCGAATGCTGATCATGTTTGGCTATTCATTTGGATGGAAAGGTTTAAATACTTGTGTCCACAGAGACAAGTGTTGCATGTGATGCCGCACAAACATAATTAAAGTGCACCCTAAAATTAATCAAAGAGCTGAATGCGCTGGAGCTGACAAGTTTAAATAAACCCAAAGCTACAAAGTTAAACAATATGTGCTGCTAAAAATAAGCATTGCGGTAACAAATTGTCAGCCGAATCATATGGAAATGTTAGCTTGTTTATTTTGAAATAGAATTGATTTATGTGTTTGTGGATTATGAAATGTTACGGATTTTTGTGGGTACATTTAAATTAATCCTAATATTCCAGTTTTACATGCGTTCTGTAGCAGTTAATTTTTAATTAAAATATAAAAAATAAGCATTGTGGTAACAAATTGTCAGTCGAATCATATGGAAATGTTAGCTTGTTTATTTTGAAATAGAATTGATTTATGTGTTTGTGGATTATTAAATGTTACGGATTTTTGTGGGTACATTTAAATTAATCCTAATATTCCAGTTTTACATGCGTTCTGTAGCAGTTAATTTTTAATTAAAATATAAAAAATAAGCATTGCGGTAACAAATTGTCAGCCGAATCATATGGAAATGTTAGCTTGTTTATTTTGAAATAGAATTGATTTATGTGTTTGTGGATTATTAAATGTTACGGATTTTTGTGGGTACATTTAAATTAATCCTAATATTCCAGTTTTAAATGCGTTCTGTAGCAGTTAATTTTTAATTAAAATATAAAAGTGATATGAAAATGTTATTGTAAATTAACTACATATTAGGGGGATATGTTAGACATACATATAATTAAATATTACACTTGCTAAATAAAGCTAAAGCTGGAAGTAATGCAGGCCGATGGCCACCATATGAAGAGAATGGCAGGTAAAAATCAGTCGTAAAGAAGAAGTCGACAAAGTTGGTCGCGCTGTCGTTATAGAAATATTAGTAACAGGTTTAATTTTCGAAAACAGAAACAGAACAGAAAACAGCTCCGATGTTGTGGAAGATCTCTTCATATACATATTTATTTGTTTGAATATGCACTTTCACTCGCCCTTTAAAGTTCGGTGTTCATTGAATGTCTTTGCTTTTCAAATATTTATATTACCTATTCTTGTTGCTTCAGGTTGTAATTAATTTCTGATCAAAAAAAATTGATATTTTCCTAAATTTTAAATAAATGTCACAAATATCTTACCTATGTCTTACTGTTTTCTCCACTAACTTTTGCGAAAAGCATCCTCCAGTGTTAATTCTCAATAAAGCGTATCCTCTTGCATATTGTTTTCGAAACACCAAGCAATAAAAGAGCTCAAAAGCCTAAATCCAATTAGCTGTTAAGTGCTATAACAACAAAAACAAGAAACAACAGACAGTTACACCAAAATCTAAATCCATTTCCCTGCGAAACACACACCCACACACACTCAAGTTGTAGCCACAAAATCGCAACTTAAAAATCAACTCACAACTCGTAATAGACACTTGCGAATGGAAACTGCAAAGCGAAATCCCAGCGCACTTTCAAACACATTTTAACCACATTTTAAGCACATTTAAATACAACAAAAACAAGAGCAACAACAGCTGCAAAACAAACTGCCAGCCAGCGGGGCGTAGACAATGAATTACAATGCCACCACGCACAAGAATGAAAACGAAAAAGAAAAAAAAAGAAGCGAAAGAAGGGAAGAAAAAGTGCTACGGCGTGACAACAACAACAGCAATGAACATTGCAACGACCATCACGAAAACTACAATGGAAATGCCAGCAAACAAAAGCAGCAGCAGCAGAGCATCAGCATCAGCAGCGGCAGCGGCGGGCGATGCCAGCAACAGGAGCAGAAACAGGAGCAGGAGCAGGAACAGAAGGAGCAAATACTACAAGCAATTTAACATTATTTTAATGCGCCCGCTGCCGCCGCTGTCCTCAACATTCTCGTCAGCCTTTTGTCTCTGCCATGCACGCACACACATGGACTGATTCAGGGTGACCCAAATTTTTAGAAAAAATCAGATCCTTTTGGGTTCTAATAAATAAATTTATTATACATTTATTTATATTGAACACAATTCTTAACCCAAGTACGAGAGCCACAAAGCAATGCAAGTCGAATCAATTCACAAGAAAAACATTTTAATATATTTTAGCCAGATCGAATCGTTTTCGTTTTTAAAAATTTTAAAGCGTAACGAAACCATTGATGCGAATCGGCTTCCTAGATTTATTTTTAGAAATTGTATTTTTACAATATGAAAATAATTTGTCGGCTTTAAAATGAAAATATTGAAGCAAGCTGTTGTAAGCAGAAAACAATATTTCAGTATAGAATTAATACGGATTTTAATTGAAATAGCATAACTAAAGATATGCTTAGAAAATTTGCGTGCAAATTATTTCCCTATAATTTCCTTATACCTTCTAAAAGGTATTATAAACTATTTTGGACAATATTAACATTAAAGAATGCTGATTACGATTGAATATATTTCTATTTATTATATTTTGTTTGTTAAAATGCCTTTTTCCGGTTATAAATGTACCTTACGAGAAAAAAAACTCGTGCATTTTTCTGTATTCTTTTTTTCACATTAAATTATACTTCCCGTATGTTTTTTCTCATAGAAACATTACGAATACTCGTACAGAGGGCAAACGGGCACCCTAGAATGGGTGTGCGTGTGGATGCATAGCAACATATTTACATGCGTGTTTATCTGCCATGTAAGTGTAGTTTCGTGCGTTTGTGTGTGTCTACTTATAAAATAGAGCGACAGTTATCTATGTGTTTGTGTCATGACCGCCTGTTGCGACGGACACATACACAGACAGACGCTTCCAGAGAGATACAAAGGCACGCACACGCATACGCGAGCAGTTCTCTGTAATAGTGTGTAAATGTGTTTGTCATTTGTCTTTTTAACGCCGAATTGTGCGGCGCATCGTACGTGTGGGGCCAGCAAAATGCCGAGAGAACAGCCCCTAGGCATTGCCTACAGCCCGCTGTGACGTTTTGACTTCCGGCGGAAGTGCGCATTAAAATTGCCATTAGTGTTGGTGGCAAACACAGCAACACCGACAGCAACAGTGTAGCGTTTTACTTTTTTCCCACCCTTTCTTTTTTCTTTTTTTTTTTTTCTGCCGCAACTACCTTCACACAATGGCTGCCTAATTTGACCTGAGCTTCCAGAAATTGTCTTCGTCACTTTCTTTTGGGCGCGAGCTAAAGCCATTAGGCCTACAAAACCTCTTGACATTCACGTTCGAGACTTTTTTGTTGCAGTCTTAAAGGCGTAGAAATAACATTTCTCTTTCTTTCTTTAATGCGAAAAAAACCTTCAGAAGGACTACTTAAAATGTCGTGTTAGAACTACTTCGAAACGAACAGAATTAAGCAAAATTATTCTTTTTTTTTTTATTTCACTCGATCCCTAGCTGGCTTCCCATACATAATATATATTGATATTTTGACATGATCTCAATAAATAACACCAATTTTGAATCCCGTTTATATGAAATTCTTTTCACGCTTTTCTCCTTGCGAATATTTAATGAAAATTGGGGACTATCTCTACAAAACATTCAAAGTGGTAATGATAAGAACATTTCAACATATAGTTTGTCTCTGCATACGTATTATTGTTTGGTCTGTTTGGGATAGCACCAATAATAAGTTGTTTATTTCATATTTTATTTCAATTTACTTCCTTCATCATGTGCATCAGTTCTGCTCCCACATTAATGTTAAATAGGTTTAATTCGTTTATTAAGTTCAGATTCCTCATGAAACGCCCCTTGGCGAGCTGTTGATTTTCTTTACCTGCTCTATAAATTTCCAGCAACTGAACTTTGAAGCTTGGACAGTTTTTATTCAACAGGCCAGTTGCGCCATCTGACTTACCTCCTGTTGCTTTGTCAACGGGAACTGTTTGAGCCTTTATTCTGTTTGTGTTACTCGGCTTGGTCGTCCTTGGCATATTTCTCTTCTCTCTGTGTGGTGGAGTGCATAACTGAGCTCCTATTGCTTTTTCCATCATACCAGCGTGCAACTGTGGCATACCTTTAAGCTGGCACTGGACACTGTGTGTTGTTGTAGTTGTATACTTTCATAGTGTGTGGCCCTCGACTTTAACAAATGGCATACATTTTATGCGCTGCGAGGGGATGATGATGTTGTTGTTGTATCTCTCACACTATGGCCACCATCTGTTTTATCCGTTTAAAGTGCAAGCGCACAATTCACGTACCTACATACTCATACAGCCGACCAGCAGCCAACAGCGGATAGATGATAACATAAAAGGCGGCCATAGAAACAACGAGTCGGGTATAAAAAGTGAAAATGTCGCTGCAATTTCCATTGGCAGCGAACGGCAAAACTTTGCAGCGCCGCTCACTATTGTTTGTTGTACAAATGGTGGAGTGTTTGTCACAAAACATTAAATGAAATGGGGGACAAAATGACTAGATAAATGGGTCAGTCTGTGTTAAATATATGGATAAGTGAAGAGCACAATTTATGTGTTGCATTTCTTTGTGGGCTGCTCAACAAAAGTTTGCCAATGGGTTTTTATTTTATAAAAAACATGTTGCTTAATGAATAGTATATATAGAGTAAGCATATAAAAAGGGATTTTATTATTGTAGTATTTTCATTATTATTTTTTGTACAATTAGCGTTGATCTGCAGTAATTTAATAATATTGAAATCTTTTCAGAGAAAGTCATTAAAAGAAGCGAATAAAACTATATAATAATAGCCCGACAGCTTGAGAGATTGTTAGTTACCATCCGTCCAGCATAAATACTACTACTAAGAACAGGCAGAATGCGATTCTAAAATAAACAAAGAGCTAATAGTATAAAGAATTGCTTTCTGACCGACTCAATGCTTTCTACACTTAAAATTATAAAGATTTTTTATAGAGCAGGGATCAATGCTTTATAAACACCAGTACATCCACAGCCTTTTTAATGATAGCTCAGAAATAAAGTTTTGACTCAAAATAAATAGTTGAAAACAATTTTGATGAATAAATAAGCGACTATCATAATCACATTTGACTGCAGATATCACAGATAGGTTAACCAACTCAAATATACACATACAAGTATTCTGAACATTTTGATGTTGTTAATGACGTGCCACAAATTTGTAAATCAGTCTAATTTAATGAAATAGTTAGTCTGCCGCAAGTTCCTTGCATTGTTTCACAGAAGTGCTTGAAGTGCTCGCCCACTTGGTAAATTGCGATAGTGATGGTTATAATTTATTTGAAGTAACAACAGCTCATTGTAAATTATATACTCGTATAGTATTATGTATGGATGTGCTCGTGTATTTCAAATTGACATGCCATTCATATTGTGCGAATACATACTTGTATTAATATGTGCATATTTTGTAAATGAATTTTTGGAAATTATGGCACAACAAATTGCAGTATAAACCATCAATACAGCTACAGATACAAATACATGCATATATATTATTATACATATATTAAATGGCTTAATAATAAATTGCAAAGCATAAATTTTCGTTGAATTACAAAGCGCGTTGCGACAAAACGGGTGACATTTTAAATTGTGTGCTTGTAGGTAGAGCGTGGTCGCATTTTAATGCCATGCAATTGATATTTCAATTAATTTTCAATTAAAAATGGTTTAACATACATATGTATCGTATAAAGCGTAATCAAAAGCACGGATGAGGGAGCGGATTTGCCAAGTTTTGTAAGCGCAGGCGTTGTGGCCGGGCACGCACATACAAGTATGTCATGTATGTATGTATGTATGTTACTCGAAGGTGATTGCTCGACTTTGGCACAGTTTTAAACTGAAATACACTGAAAGCAATGCTAGAGATATAACCAGTTTTTTGAAACAAAAAATTAAATGCTCCCGTTTTCCGATTTTTGAAATTATGTCGCAGTGAAACAACATTGAAAAGAAGTATAGTATAGCACGATTTCTTGTCTAAGGCTAAGTGGAACGAATAATTTAAAGCAAAAAGACCAAAAGACTATTCAATAGTCTTCAATGCATAATAAAAAAACATTTGTAATATTTCTGCAAATGATTAGTTTTTAGAGGGCTCTTATTTTAAAATAACTTTTAATTACGCTAGTAGAAAATGTAGAAAATTGAAACAACTTGTTTTTTTCTTCCAAATTTTTCAATTTTGCCAAATTTTTACAGCGAATAAAAGTGCTTTCTTCATTGCGTTATAATTCCTTAAGTAAACAGTAAACAGTTTAAAATTGCTTCACGTTCCATATCTGGGATGTCGGATGGTTGAGTGCCCAGCTTTTTAGTTAAAAAGCAACGTTAGAATTTACAAAAGAATTTACAAAATGTTGCTTATAGTGTTGCCATCTCTAAACTTATTAACCATGACGCTTATTCTCACAGTGTTTTGGCTCAATTTCAATTATAATTTTACACATTTCCATATGTTGTAATGTGTTTTCCAA